AATTTGTTACACTTGGCGTAATTTATCATTTATATTAACACGTAAAAACACGTCTATCAATAAAAAAGGTTTAGGGCAATCGATAAAACAATAAGACTATCTATTATAAGACCGTTAAAAAAAAAGACCGATCCTATGATCGATCCTATCGATCTGTCCTAAAAAAGATTGGTACAAGACCGGTCCTATGACCGGACCAATGGTCTTTCGGTCTGGATCGGATCGTTCCCATCCCTAGGTGTAGTTAAGTGGAATTGAGAGAGTATTTTTTTTGTATATCACCCGAAAAAATTCTGGCATGTGTTGTGTCTTTTATCTAATAGGATATTAGATTACGAAAGTGCTTATACATTTGTTAATAGAACTAGCGAGTTAGTTCTTTTTTCCCAGTATCCACTACATATTTAATGCATATCAGAAGTGCAATGAGTCATACAAACGTAATTTGACATACATAGAATGAAGATTATGATGAGTAGATTATTTTTTTATAATTTTTTCATAAAAAAAGCATAAATAATTGATTTGAAGATTTTTAATATATGTTTTTTGATAAGCAAATTAGTGATTTTAGTTAAATAATTTATCTAATAAAAAGATCTTGATATTTATAAAGATATCAGTCAGATAATGTAATGCTTTATCATTTTTATTTAAAAAATAAGCATTTTATGATCGAAAATTATAAGGATTTAATTATGAAATATTATGTAATCTTTGATATTCTAGAATCATATCTTGATCTGTCATGAATGCTGACCTATTAAGATGAGAAATCTCAACATTATCCTAGGTAGAACATCTGCTAAGGGTGACATAGGCTTGACCTACAGAAAAGATATTTTGATCTAAAGCGAGAGAAACATTTGGTAAAGTTAAGCCTTATGTCTTGTGATCAGTCAGAGCAAAGCAGTTCTGTAATGGATATTGAGTTCTGTGACAGTTATTTCCAAATAGTTGAAAGTGATGTGTTTATTTGTAAATGATTGTATCTATTATCGAACCACTTACAGAAAATGCGACTCAAACAGAATGATCGATAAGGTTTAAATCCATAATAATTCCAACTGTTCCATTACAAATTCCTTGCTCAAATAAAGAGTTATTAAGACATATGACACAAGCACCTGGTTGTAATCTTACAGAAAAAGGTAGATTTGTTTTACTTTTAAAAGAGTTTTTAGAAAAACAAGAATCCTATGATGTGGAATTTACTGAATTTACATCTTGTGATATAAAGAATTTTCCTTCAGGAACAGGTAATATATTACAAATCATTCGATTAATTTGCTGAGCATTTTCTCTAAAGCTGTCAATATTAATAGTATTGAGAAGTGTATTGATTGCTGAACGTGATAAAAATTCAGAATGTTTTTGATTGAGCATCTGCCATGTTTCAGCAGATATATTACCCATTTGAACTTCTTGTAATATTTGATAGAATTAGCTGTCAGATTGTTGATATTGTGGAGTCGTTAAAAATAAGGGATAAAATAAAGTCCAAGTCATTAAACGAAATACAGGTTGACCTGTAATAAGCGTAATAAGCGGTAATTGAGCAAGATCACCTACTATAATTACATTTATTTTACCAAATGGGATAGCATTATTATTGAGATTAGCAAAAAGATTAGATATAAAATCAAAGAGCTGTGATGAAACCATTGAAATTTCTTCGATGATGATAATATCAATTGCTTTTAATGATTCATTTAATTCTTTATCAATATATGCACGTGTACGAAAGTTATCATAATTTGAAATAATCTGCAATGCAGAATGGATAGTTTTTCCTCTCACATTTTGGGCGGTAACACCAATAGGAGCCAGAAGAAAATATTTAGATTTTTTCTGTTTAAGAGTATTTATCAGCAGGTTTATGATATATGATTTACCCATTCCTGCAGAACCTGTAATAAAATAATATGATCATTTGATACCATCATTTGGGCCAAAATATGAAGAGATTGTTGATAAGACATAATACTGATCTTCTGGTAGATCAAGTATAGCAGTTTCAGGTAATAAATGAAGAAGCATCTTGATATTTTCCAATTGTAATCTTATAATATCCTGGATTGTTGTTGAAAGTTCTTGATGTAATGATTGTAGCAATCTGTCTAGCATTTTGGCAAAATGATTATTAAGATAAATGATATGTGAGTGATGATTATTTGTGATTTGGATTTGTAAGGTTGTCAAGAAATTAGGAAATAATGACAAAAATTTTTGTCGGTATGTTCTATTAGGTCCTATTCTATAATTAGATTCATCTTTTGCAGGTATGGTAAGATGAAGTTTCTAATAGAAGTATAATTTAGCATTTTGAAGTTTAAGAAAATAATATCTCATTATTATTTCTTTAGATCGTTTTACAACATAATTATTCAATTGATCATGAAAGATTGATTGATTAATTAAAGGTCTTGAAGGAGAGATTAAATATCTTTTAAAATATTGAGAATAAGTAAGTAGATCAAATTCAGGAGAGATAGGTCGTACCATACATATATTTGGTTATGGTATCATTATAATAAGGATCTTCATCTTCTTCATGTATTAAATAGATAGGAAGCACTAGATAAGATCTTGTATTAGAAGGTTCAGTGGTAAGGAATTTTACAGTACTTGATGAATTACAGATTTGATGACCTAAAAGCAAAAACATCAATTCCATAGAGCTGAGCCTTCGTGCGATCACATGTTCTCTTAATATATCTCCATCTTGTATGTTAAATATATGAGAGAGTTCTCTTTTAATGATATATTTTACCATATATTGAGCAAACCCTCTATCAGTTATATACTTAATATTCATGTAAGCATCCTATAATAAGAGAATAGCAGGATGATAAGGGACTACCTATGAATCTGCATCAGTCAAATATTTATAAATATAACAGAAGGTTCCTTCTTGATAATGAGTTATTTGACTATAAGGATGTAAAAAACTTTTTTTACACGTCTGATCTTGTGGGATAAGTCCTTGACATCTATGATTGCAAGTATGTATTTGATTAGCTATCACAGAAGCATATAATTCAGGTTCATATAGAGAATCAAGTATTGTTGAGCGGATGATATCATTTGCAATAATATCTGAAATAGAAATATCAGTCCAATAACAGCTATGAGTATGTGCTGCATCCCTATTTTGAAATTCAACTCAATTAAAAAAGTCTGTGATCTTGCCAATCCTATAAGTTCAGGTTTTATACAATTCCTTTTTTAGAGATTGAAATTTGTGAACAAAATAATTTGCACAATGATAAGGTCTATTTATTGGTAATGAATCATTGTTATCTGTATTAATGAGTATATTATGAAGATGAGTCCAACGTTCTTCAGCCATGGTCAAGATTATGAATAATGATGGTAGACCAAATTTTTTTAGCATTACGTTAAGGTGAAGTTGTTTGTGATGAAAGTAAGTATCTCTTGTGCATATAAAAGTAGGTAGGGGAATCATTTTAGTTTCATCTAATCTTAGATATCTATTATATTCACTAGATTGGAGTAATTGCCTTGCAGTAGGAAAATTGTTTATATTAGGATTGATATTATTTTGTCTTAAGAATCGTTGAGTATTTTGATGATGTCTCAGTTTCTCTAATTGTAGGTATGACCTCATATGAGGACTTTCATATGATTGGCTGATTATGTTACACGAATTTTGCAATTAGTATTGTAAATATTTATACATATCATGTGATTTTAATATAATAAACTATTACATTTAGACTAATTAGCATTCATATATATATTAACTAAAAATCTTAAAAATCAAACAAATTAGTTTAATTTATTAATTTTATATAATATTTATAATATTTAAAAAAAAAATAATAAAATTTTATTGCTGTTGAAATTTTCATAATGCCTCTTCTAACGTGAATGCTACATAGTTTACCAGTTTGCTTACACCATTATCATCATCGTCAAGAATATTATCTTCTAGTTCTACAACCCATTTCTATTTTTTATCTAAACTTTTCAAAGATTCAATAAGGATCGATTATGTTCATCAACACCATTATGAAATTCAAGTGAGCTTCTCATTACAATTCCATTATAACAATCCAAGCAAAACTATATTGTTTTCTTGTACATAATTTGGCAAAGTATTGTTTACTCAACCTTTATCAAGAATATACTCAGTCACCTTTTTCCAGTTAGTTGACTTTTTCAGCATATAGTAATTTTACATGATCCAGTAATAGGCATATTTGCTTTTTAACTAAAGTACCTTTAGTTTTCGGATTCTTTTGAGATTCTTTTGCACAGTGAATTTTAAAGTTAATTCAGAGCTAGAAATAAAATTTTTTTTTTATTATGTAGATTATCGAAATCTTAAAAAGTACTTTAAACTGTATAAATTCAATTGAAATCGATTGACTAATCACGTGAAAATCCTCCTATAAGATATGACCAAGAAGGCCAGTGATAATGAAGCTTCCATTATGGATCGTAATTAATTAATCATTGTCTGATATATTTATCATAAGTTTCTTCTCTCATATCATCATCTGTGATGTCTGATTTATTTAGTATATCATGAAAGTGACCTTTTTCATCCGTAAATAGATTAAGAAAAATTAATGGTTCTAGATTAGAATCATATGTAGCAATAGGAATATATAATCTATCACTTTCACAGATGAATCCTGCCATTAATCTAGAGTAATAGATGTCTTCATTGTGAACTTCATCTGAAAAGTTCAAATTGGGAACTATGATATCTTAAGTGTTTACAGGTGGGATATCAAAATCAGTAAGAAGATGTGTTACCCTTGAAAATGGTTGATTTCTTGCTGTATTTTATTTATCACGTGATGTTAATATGCTAGTATAAGGTTGAAGGTATGGATTATTATTCGCTAACCAAGCTGCAGCGTGTTTTAGAATTTGATCATGAATTGGATCATTATCTAGATATCTTGAGGCAGTTGATTGATTAATATCGTCTGGTTGATCTATGAATGTACCTAAGATTCCTGAATATAATGCATGCATTCTAATATTACGAGAGTAATTTATTGATCCAGTCAAGCATTTATATTCTGAGAAGGGGTTGCTATTTGAAGTCCTTCCTAACGAACAGTGTAAATAAACTGGTGAGAAATGTTTCCTCTTATACTCTTATACAAGGGAACTGAGAGGATTTTTTGTGGTATAGGGAATAGATAAGGGAACGTGAATCTTGTAATAGGCTTCTTACATAATTCGTAGGTAGGTATTCTTAATTCAAGAATGCGATTGGTATTTGGGTTGAATGATAAGGTAATGTTTGGAATGCATTATTGTAATGGGTAGGTGATAGATGAGTTGTAAAAGATCCATAAAGATTTTTCTGGATATAGGAGCCTTCCGCAATAAACGCAAGCGATCTGAGAATATTATTTCAAGATGGTATTTTGAAATCTGTCATAAAGTCTTTGCAGTATAGTCAATGGTCTCCAATATATGATGATTGCATTTAAATGCTAAGGGGTAATTGGTGTAATGTGGGCTGAAGTGGATCCAGATGGGAGAATATTAGGATTACTCAGTGTGATAGATGCGATATTCATTGTGATTCAATCTAGTATTATTTCATATTCATTATTGAAGATGTAAATTGAGTTGATTTAATAGAACATAATGAAGGGATTTGAAATAAAAAAAGGTAATTTTTTAATAAAGTATTTTTTTTACTTACAGTAAAATACTAAGGACGTAATAGAAAAGAATCAATCAATCATATTCACTTCGTTAACAACTTTGTAAACAATTATAAGATTGCGAAATTAGGTTAAAATGATGATTAATATTTAATTATAAGTACATTTTATTTAAGATTAATACAAAAAAAGAATTTTTTTTTATTATTTAAAATTAAAGGATTTTGAATGATATACATAGTGGTGAAATAAAATTTTATCATAGTAAATTGTTTCGCAAAGTGTAATCAATGAATTTTTTATTTTATGTAAAAAAAAATTAAATAAAAAAAAAGCTGTTTATAGTTTCTCGTAAATATCTTAATTTTAAATATTTTTTAATTTTTAATGAATTTTTACATTTTCATATTTTTTTCGAAATTATAAGTTTTGAAAAAAGAAATGAATAAATCTGAGAAAAAGCTTTACGGCTGTTAAGTTCTCTTTTAAAATAAAAAATCAACAAAAAAAAAAATATACCTATACTTTTTTTTTTACAGCTAATTTCATAATTCATGGACCATTAATAATTTTTCAGTCGCATTCAGTCGCAATATTTTATAGTAATTTTATTATAAAATATTTTCAGTCGCATTCAGTCGCAATTTATTAGTGGTTCACGAATTATGAAATTAGCTGTAAATAATAATAAAAAAAAAACTGAACTAAACAACAAAAATACTGTGTATCATATTCAGTTCCGATTAGTTATTCGATAAAAATGTATGTGAAAAAAAGTGAGTCAGATTTTTTTTAATAAAAATATTACTTTATATATATATATATTTTTTTTTTAAAAAAAAAAACAAACTATAATATATAGTTCAATTTTAAAAAATTTTTTATTATTATCTTTAATATTAAGAAAATTTTTCATTCTCCATAATAATCTAGCTTTTTAATAACGTTAAAGTCTTACGGTCTATCATAATTCTAAAAAATGAAAATCGTTTATATTTCATGAGAAAAGAACTTTACGCTGAGTCACAAAAATTTTACAGATCAAAGCATATCAATAAACTTTATTATCTCTGATGATATTATAATATTTTTTATTATCAGATATCAGCGCCACAAAATGTAATGAATGAAGATTTTAGGCAAGTCAAATTCACAGTCTATTTGTAAATAAATGAATTCATTTTTTTATAGAATCATTGGTGGGATATTTCTTGTTCATCTAATAGTAGTGTTACTGTAGAATTAATATCGATAGGAATCAGATTCACATTAATTATTGTTTCTAAAGTTAGTCTAGATTCGATATTGTGATTTTCTATAGTTATTATCATAGCAGTAGTAGTGATCGTCACGTTCATTTACGATAAAGTTTGTCAACCTCTTCTAGGTCTTCTAATGGTAGAAGTCAGAGATCAAGTAGCCCTTTTGTTACTCCGATTAGGACTAATATTTGATCACGGCAAGTTA